TGAACAGGCCCACTTCATGGCCAGTAAAGCAGTGGGAGGTGCGGAATAGCATGTGTGACGGATAACATCCAGGACGGTTGCCATTCTGACACCACGTGCATTAGGAAAGCCCCCCCACCCCCCCCACCCCGCGCACCCTCATCAACTGCACACCTCACTTACCTGCACACCCTCCACCCCACTACACACACACACACACACACACACGCACATGCTGCATGAAAGTGAGGTTTTTAATGGAGTCATCAAAGGTAGAGTCCAGAGAGGCATCTGGACAGTCTGGCTGTTTGAGCGTAGCAGCCAGGAATTCCAGCTAATGACTCTATGTGTGTGGGTGAGCGTGTGTGTAACGATTTAACATTAATGCACGAGGACGCCAGACTCCCCCCCCCCCCAAAAAAAATGCAAAAACTGTTATAGCAGATCACATAAAGAATGTGCAAACTGAATAAGATTCTCTAAAGCTGAAATCTGCAACAGCTCAAACCACAACAGTTGGGCAACATTGTGCTGGCGGCTGAAGTGTAAATGAAAAATGTGTGAAATGCAGAAGACCATCACAGCCCTTTTTGCCTGAAAACATCACTTCCACCATGTCAGGCCGGCAGTCTTTGATACTTTATCACGTTACAAAGTGGACTCTTGATGGAGTCACATTTTCTCAGGCGATTACTTTTAAGTTCTCCTTTCAATCAAGTCACCAGAATATCCCAGCATATTTCCTTCAGTTTCCTCGCAGCTGCTCTTAAACGCGTGTGACGTAACTCGCTCTGCTCTCGCTGTGCTTGCTTAAGGCCTCTCAACATACATGAACAAGAACGATGAGGCGCACTGGCAAAACTTCACAGTCTCAGTTAGACTGGACTCTTCCAGAGAGAGTTTTCTCTGAAGTGATCGGTTTCATGTTGGATCAGTCTGGATTTGGTCAAATTTACAAGTTCATTTTAGAATTCCTGTCAATAGAGAACATATTCCGATCATAGGGAGAAGAATTGGTTAAAATGTGAGCACAGGTGAACCCCAACAACCCAGTGAGAACAACATTTACGTGTACACGTACTCATTAAAACTGCACGGTTAAATATAAACAAATCAAGACTTTTAGAGTGTGTATTTGAAATAAAAAGTCATGCATGGTAATAAAAAACACAAAAAAAACACACCGCAGTTTTTTTCTGCATCAGGCCCGTTAGTCAGGCAGTCTTTGATGTGGTCGCTTAGTGCAGGATGATACTGTTCTCAACCACATCAGACTAAACCAATCCCTCAGTGTTCCTCAAAACACATAATATGCAACAGTTTGTACTCCAATCCAACGTCTTCACCAGCTATCACCAACAATAAGTATGGAGGAAGAATGTTTGGTCTCTCTCTAACTTCGTAAAGAGCTGGAAACGTTCAACATACCCTGTTTAACCATGCAAAAAATGTGTGTGTGTGCATGTGCGTGTGTGGGAGGGGGGTTTCAAATGTTGCTGCAGCTAAAAGAGAAATGTTATTCCTTAAACATTTGTCCCAGTATTTTCTGGACTTGTGTGGTAAATTAGAGGCAAAGAGTTTATATATGTAATTAATGTCCGATTTAGACACACTGGTGGCCCTCTGCTCTTTTCAAGTGAATCTATTTCTTTGTATCTTTTTATGAGGTTGCCTAAATGTAAACGCTCATGTCAGAGTGAATACGAGACGTCATCAATCACTCTGTTGCTTGTTTTAAAGAGAATAATGACCAACAGTGGGTGCCTGGACCTCGACTCATGAAATTATATAATCAAACATTGGAAGACGCAAAAGTTCAAATCTCCAAAGTCAGTTTCTTGGGTATCACTTTCGTATTTAATAAAATAAAATAAAAGCCTTTGTCACTGCAGAGAAGCATCTCTTCTGCTTTTCACGCTGACCAGAGTTCATGACACAAACTTGTCCAGCAGTGCCAATATTTCACAATAAAGAGCGGGACCTCACCAGGCATTAGACCCACTCACAGCTGGTCACCGTGTTAAGGTCACAAAGTGAACAACCGCTGTATAATCTTCTAAAAAGCCCCTGAATAAACAGTGGAAACATTTTCACAACCTCCCTTAACCTTTAGATTCAGCTGCAGTCTCAGAGAGCGCGTTTCTGAAGGGGGCCAACAAGGGGTCGACGGGAGGTCTCTGTATGTGTGTGTTCCTGGGTGAGCGCGTTTGCCCGCATCTTTGAGCATGTTTTTCTCTAAATATTTAACTTTGATTATAGTAATCTGCCTCAGATACTCTCTGTAATGATCATGTTGCTGAAGACATAATCTCCATCAAAGTCTGCAGCTCGGAGCTGCGAGTAAGTGCCTAAAATGACAAAGTGTTTCACCAATGTGCGTCGTCTTAATGCATGATAGAGGCAGCTCAGCTGTCAATAGTGCTTTAAGATAAGAACGAAAAGAACTTTCCAATCTAACAAGTCCACTGCTGTTGTCCACCTGCCATGTGAACCAAAGCCAAAGCCTCATGCATCTCAATGGGAACAAAGCCTTAATGGTCTGACCACAAAGCAAGAAGCAGAAAGACCGTTGAAACTAAAAGAAATAGAAAGAAATCATTAAAAAGCCTTGGAATTGAAAAAAAAGAAAAAATGTCAGTCTGTTTCTTTTTTCTTTTGCCATCTCTTTGTTAGTTTAGTTAAAGATTAAAGTTTGTTTTTTTAAGCAAAGATTAGGAAATGTGACAAGCCTACATTATATTGTCAGGGCCACCATATAAAAAATATGAATTTAACCTGGAAAGCAGAAATGGCACCCACACTTAGAGACATTACACCTCAATGGCTCCGCCAGTACCACAGACATGAAACGCTTAAAAGAGGATTTCCAAACACATTATGTTATGACTGAGCAATGGAGACTCAAAGATTTGGCAACAAACCCAACTAAGCATCTTATTAATCTTCATAAAGTGCTTAATGGAAAAGTTTGCTCTTGCTAGAGAGCCAGCTTGTGTTTATTTGAACTTGAAGCTCTGTCGGTATTCCACTTTGGCCTTGACAGGGAAATAAGAAGAAAAAAATTCTGCTTGCCATTATGAAATTTATAGCGTTGCCCTGTTCCCCACAGGTGTTTTCCCTGTAGTTTAGTGAGAAATGCAAATGTCCATGCCTTATTTTAATAAAGCAAATGCTGTGATTTGAGCGCTTGATCTTAAAAATCCTTTTTTATGTAGCTTATGCATTAAAAACATAATTTCATAATGAAAACTGTGGGAGATCCAGGTGGCAGAGAGAGGAGAAAAGAGTCAAATCGTGAAAACTAGTTTTGACCGCTGTAAGCCTGGCAGCGGGGTTTGGAGCCGGAGAGAGCCAGCGGGATGGCTGTGTAGCCGGATAAATCTGCACGTGTGTCTCAGACGTAAGATTATGTGCTGTTTTTCTCTGTGTCCCTGCCATAAACTGTGTAGCTGCAATTGAAACCTTTTGTTGCAGTTCAGCTTTGTAACTCACAGGCGGCCAGGATGCTTCTGGTAACTGGTAAAGGGGCCATAAAAGAGCCCTGTGCTTTTGGTTTTTGACAAACCACATCAAACGAGCGGAGGGGAAAGGGTTGGAGCAGGTGGACCAGCTTTTAGTGCGGCACACTCAGGCCTTATTTTGTGAGGATCACAGCACAGATATGTCCGCTGAGAGGCAGTGAGATGGAACATCTTGAACCTGATATATTAGACTTGTGTTGTGGTACATTTCTGAGTGAGTAATGAACTTTATATTACTTGCCAGCATGATGCACCAAGAGCTATGGAAAAGGTTTTGAAATGAAACAATCCTTTATTGACCAAAATAGGCTATTAATAAAATAGATTAGTTTATCAGAAACATTCACGCTTACAAAAAAAGGAATATGGCCAAAAGTATGATAAATGACCTGAACAACACAAAAGATGAAACAGCTATCTCTGTACAGCATCAACCCCAAGGTGTCTCTGAGCTTTTGAAAAGAAAATATAGGCTTAACAGACACTTTTTGTAGAATTCTGCATAGTAAGGGTTGTAAGAGAACAAAATATTAGGAATTCAAATGAACAGATTTTACAGGAAAGTGTACTGCTAACTTGTGCTCTCAGTTAAGGCCCCTGACTAACCACAATAAAACACTTCAGAGCTGAGCAAAAGGACATCTGCTAAAGACTTCAACATTTTTTCTAAAGTCTCACAACCTAACTTGGAAGAAATTGGAAAGAACGAACAGCCCGAGTCAGCTGAAAGAACAACTTTAAGGCTTATTATCAAATTATGCTAAATTAATCTGGTTAAAGGGGGATTTAAACATTTAGAGATACTTTAAACGGATTCTCTTATTTTCCAACTCTTCCGTCAACATCCCTCTGCTTCCCAAACTAATCCTCTAGAACCCAAGATTGTTTTATGGCTTGGTGTACTGACTTAAGGATGCGAGAAGAAAGAGCCATTCGACCAGTAATTGGTTCAGGCTTGAAAACTGATACCTATGCCTTGACCTCTTGAAAGTCGGGCAGCTGAATGGCTTCTCCCCGTTCTGTTCATGTGCCTGCCGGCCTGCCTGAACTCTCCTGTTCAGAAAAACAAACACGAAATGCAGAAATGTTTTTTCCTGGCTTACACCTCGGTCCCAGGGCATGCAGCCCACAAGCTAACAGGGGGCAAGAGGCCGGTCTGAGGTCCGACTGTCAAACAGTCAAGAAAAAAACTGCATGATGGGACTGGGCCTCACTTGTGAGCAAGAAACTGGGATAATTCATGTTTTTTTTGTGTTTTTTTTAAAATAGCGTTTTAGAATTTTTCCAGTGCTCTGAACCGAACAGCTTAGTTATTGGTCACTTAAAAATCGGAACGTGTCAGAGGAGACCTGTTTTAAGCAATAAAAAAGTACAACAGAATATAATATCAGCTAAATAAAAAACAATCCATTCTGAAAAGAGAAACTGAATGCAAACTACATCTGATTAGCACATCTGCCCCTGGGTGACATGTTTTCTTCTCTGTCCCCTCTGAACCAGGTATTTTGGAGATCAAATCAGTGGATGTGGGAGTGGTGGCCATCAGGGGCCTCAGCAGCAACCACTACCTGGCCATCAAGAAGAACGGAGTGCTGTATGGAGCGGTGAGTGCCACTTTCATTGGTAACAAGTCATTCTTAATGAGAAAGAAGCCATGTACTGTACTCCAAATAAAATGCTGTCTTTTTTCAGTTCTGCAACTATACTTCAAAATGACCCCTGCAATAGTAACATTTGTATCTTTAATTTGGTCAGAGGAGTTTTTGGAGCGCTTAATATAATAACAGACCAAGTTGTGCCACAGTTAGTCAGTACGAGCTATCATTTCTAGTACCCAGGTTTCCCTTCTCGACTCCATTCAGAAAGAGGGAACACAATCCTCCAGTTTCTCTATTCTGCTCGAGCCCCTCTGGGGAGAACTGCTCTTGATTCATCTGTTTTCTCTCTTTCTTCCACTTTCCTTCATCCCATTCTCTCCCTCTTTTTTCCTTTTCCTTACTTTGAAAGGCCCGATTTTCAACATGTCTCTCTAGAGCCACACCACAGATGAAATGACACACGGCAGACAAAAAAGAAATAGAGGCATTTTGTTGCATGGCCTGAAACTGAATTCCCATGACGTCTTCCGCCCAGTGCAACACAAGCCATAATGGCAGTGAGTGGTGAAGGGCTGGCGTTCGATTACACTTGATGGATTTGCACAGTGACTTCTTTATCCTGTGGTGATCAATTGAAATCATTGTTGAATTAAATCTCAGCCCTTAGCATTTGTCACCGTTACCATGAATTTGACGAACAATCACTATGTGAACATAAATGTGCCATTTGGACATTAAACCAAAACATTTTGATAGAAAATAAGATCTGCTGTTCTCTTTAAAAGAGAACAAAAATAGATATTCCAGCTCTTTTCTTGGCAACTTGTTTTTAGGAGTTGAATGACCAGCTACAATTCAGCCACCCTTCTCTTTTGTGGAACAAGTTTTAGCTGAGATGTCTCCTGTGACCGACCATGCAAACGTAAAATTGTCATAAATTGCACTTAAGAACTATTAAAGCATATTATCATTATCTCAGAAAGAACATAAACTGAGCCGAGAACCATGACTAACAAAATCAACAAACCAAACTTACAATTCCACTCACCCTAATGATTAAACATTTGGCTTAAATTTTCATTCTCCAACATGTCCAATGAATTTCTATAATCTTTAGTTAAACCACAAACAGGCCGTAACAATTCCTTTTTCCTCAGCCACAGTATTCTACGAATGAACCAGCCCAAAATATGTGGGACACGTGCAAAAACTTGGGTATCAGTGTTGCTCCACTCCAAGATTTCCAAAGTTGAGTTTTACAGCTGTTTTAAAAGGGGCTACTCTTATTCAAAATTTGTCTGGAAAGCAGAATTTCCAACCTCCAATTAGCAATACGATTTCTCATAATGATGCATTGCACATAAATCGCATTTCTCTATGATAATATGCTTTTAAAACCAACAAATAAGCAACCAAAAAGCTGACAACACTTTGGACTATTGCTGTCATATCGCCAGTGTAACACAATTTTAAGTCAGTGTTCGGAGGAAATAAAGATGCAGAGTTTTTGCAATGGCAATAACTCTTCTACACTTCAGAGCTCTGAGCCGAGAAAAAGTTTATTTTTCCTGCTATGTCCTCCTATTCGTGTCCCCGCTTTTAACCTCTTTAAAACTACTCTATATAGTGTGATCACACAAGCTCTTCTAAATACAAGATTAAATAAAAGCCTTTAATATTGGCTCTTAATACCGTTTTAGGCGCCTTCACATGACTTTTACCTATCATGAAATGGGAGGATACCGCTGATAGCACTGAAAGAAAGCAGAACAGTTTCTTGAAAATTCTCAGTGTACTTTGAAAACATTCTGTTATACCTCTGGAACCAATTTGAACAGCTGTGGCCAGATTGAGAGAGAGAGAGAGAGACACTGTGAGCAAGAAATACTGAGAATGAGTGTGTCCATGTTTATGAGTGAGGAAAGCACATTTTTGCTTGGGAGTATCGACTGCATCCAGTTAACTGCCTGCTTAAGTGACGTTGAGCACAACAGCAGCTTCCAGTAAACTGAACGCTCCCTCTGATCATTTTCTCTCAATGCAGCAGTCACTGCAGTAACAAAAGCCACGAGCTTTGTCACGATGCCTAAGCTTTTAAAATGCCCCGACTCAACTACCCAGCACTGCATTATTTCAGACCACAGAAACACAAATTATACCCCTTGATCAGTTAAATATCAATAACTATTCTAAGAGCAAAGATTGTCTGATCTTTCGTTAAAACAAATCATTATACTAGTCATGACAATGAAAGGTTTAGAGGGGAGCATTTGCTTCATGATTCAGATGCAGCTGGACACGCCAAAAGGAAAGTTATACTGTTCAGCTGTTGAGTTAAGTAGCTTCTGATAAAGGCATCAGTAATGTGAAGTTCAGCTGAAGTAAAAACAGGAAACAACAGTAATACAGCTCTCTTATGATAATGGATAAAGGACATATCTATTTATTTTATAACTTGTGTGCCAAAATGCGATGTTCACTCAGCTAGCACTGCACGGTGACACACTTTGGGATTTTTATGTCCCTGCCCACGTACAGTCTCAATGATGTTGCTATTTTCACGGTAGAAAAGGGGTCATGAAAGCTGAAAATAACCTTTAAAATTTGGTTCTCCGCTTTGTTCCACAGAGGGACTTTGGTCCAGACTGCCGTCTAACCGAACGCATTGAGGAAAACAAGTACAACACCTACGCATCGGCTGAATGGCGAAACAAAAAGAGACACATGTTTGTGGGACTGAACGCCAACGGGAGGCCGATGAAGGGAAAGAAGACGCGGAGGAAAAACACAGCCACTCACTTCCTCCCCATAGTGGTTCAACCACGATAACTGGACATATGAGCCACAGGAGAGTTCGGACACTGTGGGGCTTCTTTGGAGTCCCACCGGTGGCTACATGGGACAGATCTGAAACTGACCTGTATGATGCACTGAGGAGGAAAAGAAAGGAAATCTATAGACATTAAATTACTGAAGATAGAGACGTTTCTATTTTTAAAGATGATATATTAGGCATACATTGTATATATTATTTTCTTGTTTAAGTTATAAAGTACACTGGCACAGTTAAGGAAATAGCAAAGAAATAACTTGTGTGCCAAAATGTGATTTAGTAACTCACATTTCTAGATTTGTGAAGTGTGTGACAGAAAAGATTACAAGTTAAAGGGCTGAAGATTTAGGAAAAGAAGGGCTAGTGGAGAAATCGTTGATGCAAACGGACTGGATGGGAAGAAGGAGCAAGCAAATGGAAAGGAGCAACATTTTGTGAAAAGAGCACCCAATCAAATCTAACACTATCATGTTTTTCTTCAGATTTATTTATTTTATGTAATATTTAACAAAAAAGAAAAAAACACAAGAGGACGGATTCTTGTCTTTTTTCTACCATTTATGCTTCTTTTTTTTAATACTATTCATTTAAACCCTAAATAAATATAAAGAATATATTTGTCTTTAATTGGTTTGCCTTTGAATCTTTTGAATAATCCAATTTCTTTTTTTATTGTTTGTTTGTTTGCTAAAGACTCCCCTTAGTACTGTATTTTTTGTTGGACAACAGCTGAACAAAATTAACCAGCCAAGAAGTTCAACTTTATCCATGCAGCTGTCATTATAGATTAGAAATAAATATTTCTGATAAATACTTTGATAACATACATTCTAACAATAGAACCCGTTATTTATTCAGGATTAAGTCATTTACCAGGAAATCAACTAAATGACTATGTTTTGACAATGTGTATGAGATTGATTTAGACTCTCAAATATTAAAAATTGCGTTACTAAAAAGCTTTTTCTGAAGCTTTCAGCCCTGTCGTCATTGACGGACAGCCTTCACCTCCACGGTGACTTCCTGCTCAGTGAGGACAACTGACTATGATTGAAAGCCTTATGAGTAAGAAATACATTTTTCAAAATAACACACAACTATTTCCAAAAGGCTGGTATTTCATGCCCAAGTAAAACCTAGATAACATCATAATCAGCTTTCTACGCAAGCAAAGCCAAAGCTTACCTGATAAAAACTGAAGTGTGAAGCGGGAATCTGTAAGAGATTAAAGTTTTGAAAGAAGCCAAGAAGACAACCCCACTGATTAGTTCACGGGTTTCCACGTCTCGCTGCAGAGAGCTCTCCCTCAGAAGAACACATGACAAATATGGTTTCCAGGAGGGTAAACAAAGTCTTATGCGATAACAACAAAGACAAAACAGGCCTCAGAAATGGCCGACACATGCACACACCAGCACTGACGCGGTCGGGCGGCTGGGTAGCGTTGTGTGTGCATCGGTGATGTCTGGCAGCTGGGTAAAGCCTCCTCCTTGACCTTATGTGTGTGAAACCTGTTGCTGTACCCCCAGAGACAGAAAGACACATGGCCAAGTGCATATGGTATAACGTAAATATCACTCCTTTGTTTATCACCTGATTCGAATTAACTATGATGTCATGTTTTCTTACCTCTCTCTTCTCTTCTTTTTAAAACTCATGGTCGTGTGCTGTTGCTGTCTGGTTCCCTCATTTTACCCCTCCAATTTTTTGTTTTTCACCGCTTTTTAAAATTTTGTCATGTCTTGGACGAGTTCGAATGGATTCCAGCTCTTTAACTGGATCAAACGGAGATCAGTCTCCCCCTGCCCAGGGCTAAAGCAGTTGTAATTTGTTCATTACATCCATCACTTTCAGCTCTCTGCCATCTGTTTCTGCGTGTGTGTGTGTGTGTGTGTGTGTGTGTGTGTGCGTCTAACTTAATTTCCAACTATATGATGGAATCCACCAGTATCCTGCTGTGTTTATTATAAAAAAAACTCCTCGATCCCCTTATTGTACTCAGGAGTTCTCAGTGTCCACCACTCATTTCAAAATGTGAGTTAGTATGATGCATCAGAGGGCGATTCAAATTTCCTTTCATCCTCCCGGGGCATCTAGTACTTTGTTTATATGATTACTTGGGTGTTCTGTAAATGACATATCAAGTACAATTACTTTGAAATGTGTTCAAGACACTGATACCCCTCCTCTCTTCCCCCCTTTCCCCTCCTTCATAAAGTTCAAGGGCTGGCATTCCTAACCCAAGATGTCTTCATTATTTGGTGGTATAACCTCAGAGGTCTGAAACATCCCACTTATGTTCCTATTGGAATATAGAGATCTGGAGTGAAATCCAGATATCTGAAACAAATTTGTCTTCTCGTTCACTCCGAGAACCTGGAATGAAGTCCATACACGGTATAACACGTGTCCACCCCTAGGAATACACTGATGTATTTTTATTGCAACTTTAACATGACTTAATGTGCTCTTGCCTTTGCCTGTAATCCATAACAAGGCTAGACATTAAAAGCGGGGTATTTATTGAAGACAGATGTTTCACACTGATTATCAGTGATATCTGAGTTCGGCCGGTCGGCAGCACTGAGCCACACGTCGTTTCGCTTTCTGCAGAGCGCCTGACATGTTACCGAGAGCTCATTTATTTGCTGTTGTACCCAGGTATGTTTGGTTAGTGCTTGGTTTGTTGAGGCGTGCGGTGAGGTGCAGTATGCGGTTTATGTTTTGACTATATCGGGCTCTATCGGACCTGTGTTGGACCTCAAATGAAACGTCCTCCGTTGGCTTCACACGTTCACAGCTCCTCTGTTTGCTCAGAGAGTCCTGTGGCTGCGCTACCTGACCGCAGCGGCAGCTGGGAATATTTTACGTCCTGGTGAGCGTCGGAGAGACAGAGGAAGGGGATAGAGGGAAGCTGCGAGCACCGATATGGAGAAAGGCGAGCAGAGTCGGGAGAGGAGGTGAATATCTGAAAGAACCACAGTCCTGGGGGCATTTACAGCAGCCACGGATCGGAGGGGGGCACAAAAAAAAAGAAATGCAGAAGGGGAGATGTTTACTTGGTGGGCATCAGTTTGAATGGGGTGCCGAAGGGTGAGGGGAAGAAGGGGTGATGGGGGCGAACAGCAGGGGGGACTTGACTTGGGTATGTGCAGAGGTAAAGAAGGCTAGAGGGGCAAAAAGACTTGGGGGGTGGGGGGGTAATCATTGGAAGCAGACCAAGGGAATTCCTGGAACCCAGAAGGTGAACCGGGACTTCTCCTCCCCTCATGTTCAGCTCACTTTACTGAATTTCTTCCCTCTCTTTTTCAGTCCTCAAAAATGTCGTGTACTTTATCCCCAACTGGCACATTATCCCTTGACCCACTACGAACCAAAATGTTTGAAACAGTGGTCCAGTAATCACTTCATCTCCACTTTCTGCAAAAAGCAATCACTTAGATGGAAGAAAACTCTAAACGTCAGTGGCCTGAATTGTAGGTGAAACTAAAATGTGCACTGCGGACCTGGTGACACGGAAACGCTGAAGACCGGTTTTATGGGTAAAATCCTCACCTGTGGTTTTCAATGAAGGCGATTTGCAGCTGTGAACACAGTGTTTTTTCTTAAAGAGTTTACATAAATGAAACATGTTTTCGCTGTGCAAATTAATATGAAATGTGTGAGTAGTCATTTTTCCGGCTCAGAGCTGAGCTGGGGGTCAACTCAATGTAGTTGTAAGTACATTTTGGGACATTTCTTTAGTTCATAATAAATTGTATTTTACTTCTAAGGAAATAAGGGGAATCAAAGCAGTGCTCTTTTTCATTTTGCATGTTTCTGGTAATAGGTCTGTTTTCTAGAAATGAAAGAAACACTTCAGACTTGTAACCGGCTTAACACTGTTGTAGAAAAAACAAATCTATCTTAGCCCTGCACATGAACAGCATGTAAAAACCTGATAACTATCATAACACATTAAAAGGACAACATTTTCCACTCCAAAAGACAGTTTTTCATTTATAAGGCTCTCCTTTCCATTGTGGACTTGAATTTAAATTATGAAATGAGCATAGTTAAATCTATTCATTTCTTTTTTGAAAATGTGCTTTCAGACATACTGTTCCATCAAGGAGTTCACCCCCTGCCTTGACATACACACACACACACACACACACACACACACACACACACGCAGTCTTTTCTGGTTCAGAAGGAACCTGTAGCTGGATGGCAGCCTTGGCCCCAGCTCCATCTTAACATCTCCTGAGAGCTTCAAGTTTCCTGCAACAGGTGGCTCAAACATTTGCCTTGGCCTCCGCTGAGGTGAAGCCTCTGTTTATCGACTCGGAAAGAGCGAAGAGAGTTAGGCGAGGGGGAGAGAGACTGACAAACAAAAAAGGCATAAAAAAGATCAAGTTTGTCAGACGGAGCTAAACAGTTTTTAGAGAAAAAGAAGTCCTCGCAAAAAAAAGAGAACCTAAATGTGAGTCATTCAAAATGAGGGTTTCGTCTTAATGAACTTGCTACGTAAGGATAAAAACAAGAATGTAAACATGTAATTTGTGGTAATATTTTAGTTAAGGCCTTGACAAGCGACGATACATTTTCCAGAGCTGCAACCAAATCAGGGCCAAATTATTCTCTTCTTTTCTGTTCTCTTCTCTCGCCTTATATGTGCGCCTCACTTCATCCGTTTTATCTGGACTTTCTCTCATCTGCTCTGCTTTAACCAACCTCAACCTTCTCTTCCCATCACCTTTACTCCCCCACCCAGCCGTCTCCGAAGGAGTATGCCTGCAGCCTAAATGAAAATATATTTGTTGTTTTTGTTGGCCTTCTCTCCTCAAACTCCACTGGCATGATCCAGCCTTAGACCCCGGGTCGCTGGAAGCAGCCGTGGCAGCAGAAAGCCTCCATTAGTCCTTGATCACTGGCTGTCTGACAGCAGAGTCAACATGCGGGGCATTAGAGACTGACATGGGATCAAATAAAGGCTAATTTATTGGCTGCTTTC